CCCCAAAACCCCAAAACCCCAAAACCCCAAAACCCCAATTTTTAGAAAATTAATTGGAAATTTAAAATATTTAAAATGTTTTCCAGCAGACATTTAGTTCAAAGTTTGGAGAATGCTATTGAGGTTGGGAAGGTTAAGGGAGCTTTGGTGAGGGGGAAGAAAGTTGTTGTGCCCGTTAAAGGTATTTCTGCAGGTACGGAGGGTGGAATTGGGGTTTAGGTTGGTTTTGGAGTGAAGAGAAGAAATTTTGTTTTTAGTGGTGCTTGAGAATTTAATTTAAGCGTTGGAATGTTTTAAATCATGATTTGTTAAAATTTTGACTGGAATTTGGTACTGTGCATCTTTTGGATGAAATATAAGATTAGTTATGAATTGTATGAAATATTAAAGCTGAATTCATTTGTCAATTTGTATAGAAGGTGGGAAATTTTGAGAATGGGATCATGAACAATCGAGGAACTCACATTCTCGGAATAGGGATTGTAATAAGCTCAAGCTAAGTATTAGTCCCAGAAATAAATAGTAAAATTTATGGTCAAAGTGTAGATTATAACACTAAAAAGAGAAAAAGAAAAATTAATAATTGCAAAACTGGTCGTATGAAAGCAAATAAAACAAGTTGAAGTAGTAAGTTTTTCACTAATTTTCAGAAATAGTTCCAATTGAAGAGTTCAAATCAGTCGCTTCATGCAGAAGTAAGCATTACTATAATCGTTAGGAAAATAAATACCAAATTAACCTTGACCCTAACTCAACTGAAAATAAAGCTCAAATACACAAATTGTCGAAATCAGAAAGCCCCTCCGAGAATCCGAGCTCTTGCACTAAAGAGCAGGATGCATCACTGCTAACGATGATTGAAAAGAATAATGACTCCACTGATGATACCAAGATAGGCATTGAAGTCATGTCATCGCTTAATAATAATCCAGTTGAAGAAGACAAAGATGAGGTTCAAACTTGTAGAATCAGTAAATCTTCCAGTAAAAGTGTATCCAACTCAGGAACGCCTCTGAATGCTTCTAAGCAGATGATCTTCGACGGAGGCCTTCCAATCTCTCAGGATAAGATCAGTAGGATGTTTTATGGTAAAAGTATTAAGAAGGAACAGAGCACTAGGGGTAGAAATCCTAAACTGAACAAACCTAAGCCATATTCAAAGAAGTTTAGCATTTCTAAGAATACTCTGGAAAAGCAATCTTTTCGTAGCTCAAGAGAGAGGGTGAACTACAGGACAAGTCAGGGGTATATTAAATAAGCTTAAGGCTCATAAGTCTTCTATTCCGAGCGGCACGCTTAACTCAAAATAGCCTGAATTATTACACAAAAGGTACTTAGGAAGGCCAGCGAGGCGAGTTTTTAGATTGTTATGATTATATTTTAAATGAGAATATAGGAACTTCGAAATCGAATGCTAAAACTCAGCTGAAGTTTTATATAAATCAGACTTATAAAACCCATATTAGTGCGAATCAGCTGGTTATACATAATATGGCTGGAAAGAAGGACCATACTATCGATCTAAGTGTGCCAAAGGCTAAGAAGAGTAGGCTCTCCAGGTCATTCTCATAGGTACTAAGATCCGCTCAACTCAAAAAGTTGCCACAAAGGCAGGGCTTTGCAAGTAAGTTTTCCTTTCTAGCCTGTGAATATAGAAATAGCGCTAGGGTAGCCTCCTCTTTTACAAAAAGACTTAGCAGTAAGGCCTCAAAGCCACTGGTTTGAATGGTGAAGTACCCAAATGTAACTTAGACTTCATAAATTATAGGTATCAACGAAATTCTTAAAATCGAAGCGAGAAAAATTGAATTTAACCAGCAAGACTGATCATTTTAACTCAAATTCAAGTCTAAGCCAACTAAATAGGGTATATTTTTGACTAAATAGTAGACTGTATCGAAAGCATCTCATTTTTCATCAAAAGAAAAACCAAAGAAGACTGCGGTCAAGGCTAACAAACCATTAACCAGTAGCCTTTTAAAAACTAATTTTCTTCAAAATAAATTTGATGCTAAGAAAAAGATAGGTAGGAGCCTAATAACAGTTGTATAGTTAATAAATCCATGGAGAATAAATTTAGAAAGGTAAGTGTCACTCTATCTAACCTGTATAGTTGACTGTATTAAAAGTAAGAATTGAGATCGATCACATACCGTTAATCTACCACTTTCGTTCTAGACTTCTTCAGTATTCAACTAGTTGGGAAAGCATCTTAAGCCTCTTTGTTTTCACATGTACTTTTATAGACAAAGAAAAGACAAAAAATTATCAAGAAAGCAGTGTGAAAGAAGCAGAAAGAGGACAGTACGAGTAACCTCTCAAAATTTTTGTAAGCCATGCTGAACAAATTATTTAACTTTTCAAGGAAGAAAAGTTATTAAGGGGTTTTGGGGTTTTGGGGTTTTGGGGTTTTGGGG